TATTTACTTATTTAAAAATCTCCTTTAATTGCTTTAAGCTTTCAATGGAGAACGACTCAGTGTACTCTGTGAATGTCCTTGGCTTGCAACACAACATCGTTATTATCGCACTGAACGCTCTAAAGTACCGAATAATCTACAGGATAATGAGCATGAATGAACGTGAACGTTTTCTCTATTTATTTATATATATATACACATATTTTTTTACTTTTTGAATGGATATAGCGAATACTGAGTGAAGTGAATAGTGAACAAGCCAAAGGGAAAGGCAGCATGGTGGACTCTGCCCTCAAGTGCACTCAACTAAAGCAAGCAAAATCTGTCGAGAGCTTTACTGAATGCTTGTTTAGAACAAAAAAGATAAATAAAAATAATAATAATCAAGTTGGAAGCGAGTCTCCTTTTGCTAAAAAGCAACGACAAAAGCCAAAAGGAAGTGGCGAAAAGATATATATTTATAAACTTGATGATAGTTAAGGGAATTGTACAAGTTGACAGAGGGAGAGTTTACTAAAAAATATAAAAAACAGTTTTAGATACAAATTCTTAATGGTTTAAATATTTCATTTAGAACGTAAGAAAGCTATCTCATATAAGTTAATTTATTTTATTATATATTTCACATTTAAGTTTCATTTTCCCTTTTTTCTTTCATTTAAACTGACACTAAATAACCTGATTTTATATGAATTATTTCGGTTTTTTTTGGAATATAATAGAATGGAAATTTATAAGCTTAATTATAGTTATTTTAATTGTACAAGTTAACAGAGGGATAGTTTACTTAAAAATATAAATAGCAGTTTTAGATACAGGTACTTAATGGTTTAAATATTTCATTTAGGATTTTAGAAACCTACATAAATCTCACATTTTCCATTTGAGTTTCATTTTCCATTATTCCTTTTCATTTAAACAGACACTAAACAACCTGATTTCACATGAATTATTTCGGTCTTCAGGAATATAATGACAAATGTTTTATGTTATTGGAAAAGTCCCCCAGGCAAGTTGGAAAGCCACTTTTTCTCTTTACGGCCGCAGATATTACTCGTACATTTAATTTTATGTTAAATATATTTCTCATATTTACATGGAATATTTATGGTGTAGAATGCAGGGAGAGGCAACTTTTCTACCATTTTGTCAACGTTTTTCATGTTATTTTTCATATGTACATACTTTTTTTTCTATTTTCTTCACATTTTTGTATTTATTTTTGTGTGTGAGCAACAACCCAGAACGAGTTCATTAGTTTACTGCCATTTCTGTTCTGCTTCTGGTACTATATGTGTGTATCAAGGCATCGTTCCAGGCCATCAGCCAGGACTCCCCATCCTTGCAAGGACCTGCTTGCCCTGTGCTCCTGTGCCTTCTGCATTTCTCATGGCGCCGTAATGGGAACAGACTGTGGCTTTTGTAATGAAAAGTTGTGGCAACTTGTTGTGCATGCCATGATTTGATGCCCTTTGCACTTTTAAAGTTTCCATTGGAAAGTTATACATGCTGTTACCGATATGCCATACAAGTACTTTAAAGTTGAACTATTCTGATAATGAAATATTTCAACTAAATTAACAGACACTGGGATGCAAGGTAGATTAAAAAAATGGGAAAGTTTTGCTAGCATTTATAGGGATTTTGGGTGAAACAACATGATATAAGTATTTGAATTATTTTTCATCAACATGAACACAGAAATTTAATAGACTTTCACTAAACATGTTGAAAATTATACACATTTAAATGAAATACTTAAAATAAATTGTCTTAAATATTACGTATACGCACAAGTACTCTGAAAATTGAGTTTTGGAATGGGAAATATGAAGAAAGGAAGTCAGATATAGCAGCACAGACATATCCTGAGTGTTTTTTCATGTTTGTTAATCATTTGCATGTACTTTTTTTTAGCTCCTTTAAGGGGAAGGAACTCAGATGACGTCATAGATATGTTAAGTACTCCAACATCCCGAAAAAAAGAAACAGAAAATCAGAGTGACATACGCATTAAGCGAAATGTATGGGAATCAATAACTAATGCGACATTGACTACATTCCCGTGGCAAACTGGAGAACACTTGTCGACTTTCCATTGAAAAGTTCTTGAGCAACAAGGGTTAGATACAGATACAAAGATACAGATACAGCTTCAAGTGTTCACAGCTCAGTGCACAAGAGTTGCTTTCGAGCAAGTTGCGCTTCACTTTTATTTCAATTGCAAAACTTTTATACAAAATTCTTCAGTTCGTTTTGCTGCTTTCTCTATTGAGATACCAGAAACGTATCGCGGTTAAAGGAGTCTCTCACATTTAAGTCAAAAGTCAAGTCTCTCAACGAAATGTGATTTAAAGAAGTTGTTTTCAGTCGCTTAAGTCTTGGGAAAGGTAAGTTTAAGTCTCTCTGTTCTGCAGTGAATATAGTATTTATATTTAACCATAAATATCCAGCTACCGCATTGCATCATTGGACAAATTGCTGAAGCAACAGAGGCACTAAAATTGGTTAGAAACTACGCCATGTGACACAAGTTACACTCGCTTCTCCCTTTTTGCAACAGTTGAGAATAACAATTTACTTTTATATTCCCCCATATGTTCATGGCTATGTTTTTTGGGGAAAAAGAAAAAGGGTTGAACTTGAATAAGTAGGAATTTATGAGTTAAAGACTGCTGGAATACCCTGTAATACATTTTAAAAACTTTCTTTAAAAAGAAATTTATAAAGAAGATAAAGGACAAGTTCATTTAATCTAGAAGAAAGAAAGAACTTCCTCATAACCTAGTACAGAATTAAAGAATGTAAAACCAACTAAGAAGCAGAACTACATACGTTCTTCAAATATTATAAAATTATTATTATTAACCTATTTTTTATAGACTTATAAATACCCCTCTTCACAGACTGGTTACAAATAAAATAAGAAACCAGCTTCCTCCCTTTGTTCCCTTTCCCGCAAATATAAATAAACTCAAACTGAAACTCAAACTCAAACCTTTTGCTTAGCGATTCAATTCAATTGATTCAATTGGGATTGTATCGTGCTGCCGTTTTATGCTCGTTTTGGCCAACACATATTACGACTGAATGTAACCAGCTAAAATCCCCTTTCCCCCCTTTTACCACATATTATGGGCGCCTGTTCCCGAGTGCCTCATTTATCTGTCGCCAATGTCTCTCCCTATCGTCCTTTTTTTGGGGAAAATTTTTACGTGTGCGCGGGACATTTTCCCCGGAATGTAATGTTAGACACAGGGGGTTATAACTTTTTTATTTTCAAGGGTATGCCCCCGTTTACGAGCCGATAATGTTATTGGCGCTGGAATTTTATGAATTGACCATTTTTTTCCCTTTCCTTTCAAAGCTGTTGAGTGGCCGGGATATTCGATATTTTCCCTATGACTTGTGCAATTTGCATAAGAAATTGTGTCACGACTAGTTTCGTTACACTTCGTTCCAATTCTTTTGTGCATATTTCAGCAAGTTGGACTCGGAGTATGCCTTGGATCCTTTGGAATTTTGGTGCCTTTTCTAGCCGCTTCATCGTCTCATCCATTCCCTCGGAATTCCTTTTGTCTGCAGGACAAAATATTTTGCGATTTTGCGGATGGTGTTCACAGTGGTTTTTGGGTAAAGGAGAAGTAATGGTTGGAATTTGATATATATGTAAAGGACAAAAGAAGGCCACATCAGGTGAATTCGAAATTTTGTTTGTTGGAATTTTATAAGCTAATATAAAATTCAACAGGAAAAAGTACGATAGAGTTTTTGAAACATTTTTATAATTTAAATTGAATTTTTGTGGGACTTTAAGTACATTTCACTTTAAAACCCATTTAAGCTTATAAAAGTTAAATGAAAACTTGATTGTTAGTTTGAAAGGTATAATTGAACCATTATTTAATGTGCACGCAAGTATTGTATGACTTTTTGTCACCCTAAATATAGTAATATTATTTCAAAGGTGTCAAAAGAAACGGAAAATCCAGGAAGCCAGTCGAAACGAGACCTGAAACAAGGTGGTTGTATTTTATCTGAGTAATACAGAAAGCAGATATAAGAAATACCATCAAGTAAGGCCTCAAATAATTCCTTAAAAATCGCTTTTATCTTATACACATTTAAATTAAATTTTACCTAAAAACAATAACAATTACCTAACTCTAATAAACCACAGTGCCTAAAAATACAAAGCCTCATGTGGGAAAGTGTATGTATACATCTGTGAGTGACTGTCAGGCATCGTCTGCACTTTGACACTCGCACAGAGTTGCATTCCTGCCATTGAGCTATTTTCCTCGAGTGGGAACAGAAAGTTCTTCGAGCCAAAAAGAAAATAAAAATATAAAGTTTCCCAAAGATGAAAACTTTTGTGGACGGCACAAACTTTTTTGTTCTGTTCGGTGCTGCCTCGGATTAATATTTTTCTTTGGCTGTCTTCTCCCTTTTTTGTTTTATATATTTATATATATTGCATTCCTTGGCGTTGTTTTTGTGTCTCCGGCACTTGAAATGCAATTTCAAAGAAATATTCCACTCTTGAATATCAAAATACTTGAATGATTAGTTGGCACAAGTTTCTGAGAAAATTATACTAGGTAATGATATCCAGGGAGAAGTATTTTATTGCTATTTTTACTCAAGGATCATTGAGTGCCTAATAATAAGTATTACTTAAGAATGTGCGTTAGTTTATGCACTAGATTTGTCCATAGCATTTTCCAAATTTTCCCTTCAATTTTAAATAGATTTTTCTAACAATAATATATCTCTCGCTTTAAAAGAAACACTTAATTTATAGATTTTTAATTTTTTTATTCAAAAAATCCAGTTGTATGTTCAAATCAGCTTATTGAGTTTTAGAAACTTGTGGAGAATTTACTTAAAATCTAATTTCACATGCTCAGAGTATGTTAGAGTAGATGGGTGTGTGTATAAGATATATACTATATATATGCTGTAGAAGGATTATCTGATGTATATTTATTGGCCATCAATCAGTGCCATTGGCCAGAGTTCTCGCCGAGTTTCCGTGGATCAATGTTCAGTCCAAGTTTCTCCAGTTTCCGAACCTTTCGCATTTGCTTGGTCAATCGCCTCTTGAAGGTTATCTCCCGATTGAGATTCATAATCTCAATGGTATCGTATTGGCGTATATTTTTGATCGTCTGCAGAATCAAATTGTCCGTCAAATGGAGCTTGATGGTGGACATCTTCATAAAGGGGGAATCCCTTCGTCTCAGTTCCTCCCTGTAGGCAAACAGGGTGTAGTGCAGCGAAGGTAACGATGGCAAAGGACGCTCCAGTTGTGGAAATAGTAACTCAGCCATGGTATTCTTGATTTTCCAAATATAATTATATATAACTGAGTGCTGCGAATCGATCTGCTTGCCTCGAAGGTTCAGAACGCAGTGCTGCCTAAGATTGGATTGCTTAGATTTTTATACTTGAAGATGGCACCTTCTACCTGCTGTTGTTTACATGAAAAATCTGAAACCACCGGCACCTTTTTCTGGGGAAATCCCCGAAGAGAAGGCAGCTGGCGCTAGTCCACTTTCCTACCTGCTGAGACAGCTGCAAAATGCAGTTTTCCTTTTTAGCACGCGATTTGGCGGGAGTTTCCCATTCTACTGTCACCGAATTTGTATTCGTACAGTTATCCCTCACTAAATGTGACGCGAAGAAAATTCTAGAATCTTTTACATCTTGAATTTAAGTTACATTTTGTTCATAAAATTAACTATAAATCAATGCAAGCACAGATAAAATACTACCGAGCAGAGTTAAATGAGCAAACTTAAATTAATTTCTTCATTATTTTTAAGTCCATTGAAAAATGTTTTCCTTTACATTCGTTTGAGCTTTATCCCCCCTTTTTATACCCTTGCAGGGTATTATAATTTCAGTCAGAAGTTTGCAACGCAGTGAAGGAGGCACCTCCGACCATATAAAGTATATATATTCTTGATCAGGATCAACAGCCGAGTCGATCTAGCCATGTCCGTCTGTCCGTCTGTCCGTCTGTCCGTCTGTCCGTCTGTCCGTCTGTCCTTCTGTCCGTCTGTCCGTCTGTCCGTTTCTACGCAAACTAGTCTCTCAGTTTTGAAGCTATCTGAATGAAACTTTGTAGTTAGCCTTCTATATACTCTCACTCGTATATATGTCGAAACGGGCCGGATCGGACGACTATATCATATAGCTGCCATAGGAATGATCGGATAATTTTTACAAAAAAAATTATAACAATTTCAGTTTTCAACAGAATTTGATAAAATTTAAGATATAGCCATTTTACTATACTCTACAATTTTGAATAAAATTTAATGAAAATCGGACAACTATATCATATAGCTCCCATAGGAACAATCGAGAAATTAAGACAATTAAAAATTATAACATTTTCAGTTTTCAACAGATTTTCTTCAAATTTGAGGTATAACTATTTTATATCAGTCTTAAATTTTGTGTAAAATTTTATGAAAATCGGACTACTATATTATATAGGTGCCATACAAACGATCGTTAGATGTGGAGAAAAATGCACATCTGTGACTGTAAAACTGCAAATATAATATGTAAAGGTGAATGAAATGAAAGCAGGTATTACTTCATTGTTTTTTAACACAAATAAATATAATTTATATTGTTGGGATTCTAAGTCATAGAAGTTCTATCTGCAAGGGTATATAAACTTCGGCGTGCCAAAGTTAGCTTCCTTTCTTGTTTGCAATTGCAATTAAAATAAATTGCATTCACCCAAAGGATTGGCGTTATAAGAGCGACAATCTAAAGGATTTATTTCAGTTTGTAATGTGACAACTGGTGAAAGGTTTAACTTGGCAAAATATTATATGGAATTTCGCTTTAATTGCTAAATTTTTTATTGTTATAACGCGTGTGAAAATATAACTATGGAAAACCCTAAGAAGTTCGTATTTTTTGTGTTTAAACAAATCTATGTTTAAATTTGTATCATACAATTGTTTCTTAGTTTATTTCGATTGATTTCGGAACTAAATTTAGGGTCAAAACTGAAAAAACCTAAATATTTTTATACCCTTCAGGGTATTAGAATTTTACTTGTAAACTAAAAAAGTACTGAATCATTTCCGACACTATAAATCATATATATTCTTGATCAGCATTAAAAGCCGAATCGATCTAGCTATATTCGGTGGGACAAATTTTTTTACCAATTTTTTTCGTTTTTAAATCACATTAAAATTTAACAAAAAAAATCGAAAAAAATTAAATTTTTTAAATGCTTTAAATTGGTATGCAGAATTATTAACCTTATAAAAACTAACACAAAAGAGTTCTCCGAAGTAAAATTATAGAAATTTTGGCTTAGTTATGATAAATTTAAAATTGACTTATAAGGCCTTATTGCAAACTAAAAGGGTATACAAAATTCGGCTTCCTGAAATAAGACTCCTTTCTTGTTATATTTAATTATTTCGCATTCAAAGCAAAATATATATTCGCACCCTTCTACTTTATCCATTTATTGCAATCAATGAATAATACAATACGCAAATTTTACGGAAATATTAAGCAATTTACAGGAAAACGAGAGAAGGAAAACATATGGAAAATTCACAACTGCAAAAGCTGTAATTATAATTTCTCTTTAGCAATCGGTAGTGTCAGACATTGTTTTCATATCATATTTGACATTAAATACAATATTTAATTATTATGTAAATTGGACGAGACACAAACAAATGTGACCGTTTAATTGGGCAGAATATTTCAATTACGCGACATGCACAACGCCAACGTCTAAATTGCAAATGCTGTCACCGAGAAATAAGCTAATTAAAATCGAGAACACAATTTATAATTTATAAATTTCGGTGTTTTTCATATCATGTTCTGCGGTTCGGTTACCATATGTCATAATTTAGGCATTCTACAACAACTGACCAAAAATTAATGAGACTGCATAAAATATACTCATAAATGGTTGTGTGTGAAAATATTGTTTATGCATTTTGGGAAATCTTCTTCACCAATTGTGGTGGGGTTTATTTGGAAACGGAAAGCAGTATATAAACATTTTAGCAATAAAATATAGCAAGTTTGTTTGTGGTTTTTCGAGGTGAATAATAGAAAAATGTATATAAAAGCATGCATTTTATTATGAGTATGTTGCTATAAATATTAATTATGAACTGAGATTCATTTCGAAGTGATTTAAAAGGGTATAATACTAACTACATTTTCGACTAAACGTTTAAAGACATTCAAAATTCTTTTGTGTAATTATTAAACTTCTTTCCCTTTTAGTATCCGCACGAAAACCTTTGGCAATATGTTAAGCCAGCTATTTCCCTTGATTAAGGAAAAGCCTTTGACAGAACAGGTAAAATCCCGAGATGCCTTCATCTACTTGGATCGTTGTGTGTTTTTCTTTGGCTGGAATGAGCCCAGTGATAAAAGGTGAATTATAGAACATTATAGAACAAATACATAATACTAAAGTATTGTTTTAAAATAATATATGCATATATTCATAGATTTAAAATAAAAATACCAATGTAATATTACTTCAGATTAATTTTCCCAAACATTTCTTTAAATTATTTATTTTTTTTAAATTATTTCCAGATGGAACCGAGTCTATAGTTTATGGACCATTTGCACCACCTTAATCGCTCTTATCCTGCTACCTTCATCCATGGTTGTGGAATATGTTAATCGTTTTCGTAGCTTCTCAGCTGGAGAGTTTCTTAGCTCTTTCGAGATTCTAATGAATATGATTGGTTGCTCATTGAAATGCGGTTACATAATTGCAGGATATCGAAATTTCCAAAGAGCAAAATGGGTGCTGGATCAGTTGGATAAAAGATGTCAGAGTGATGAGGAACGGGCCAGTGTTCATCGTCATGTGGCCATGGGAAATTCATTGTACATTCTATATCATTTTTTATATACTACTTATGTGGTCACCAATTTTGTGGGCTATTTCCTGGTTGGACGTCATGCCTGGCGCTTGTATATTCCTTTACTCAATTCTAATGAGAACTTTGTGGTGTCCAGTTTGGCTGAACTTCTCCTCATGACTTCTGTGGTCACCATGCAACAATGTACGGATGTGTGTCCCATTATTTATATGCTACAAGCACGATGTCATATCACTCTCTTAAGAGATCGCCTGGAGAAGTTGCGATCGGATCCGGGCAAGGATCAGGATGAGCACTATATGGATCTAACCTTATGTATCAAGGATCATCGATTGATTTTGGAGTAAGTTTATTTATCATGAGCCATGTTTAAAAATGTATTTAAATCTTAATCCTTTCCTTAGTTATATAAACGCCTTGAGACCTGTTTTTTCGGGAACTATTTTCGTGCAATTTCTACTGATTGGTCTTGTCCTCGGCATATCAGCAATTAATGTAATGTTTTTCTCATCATTTTGGACTGGACTGGGAACCTTTGTCTTTATGTTTGATGTCTGTATGGAGACATTTCCTGTATGTTATTTGTGCAATTTTATAGCCGATGATTGCCAAGAGCTTGCCAATTGCCTGTTTCAATCAGATTGGATTGAAGCCGATCGTCGTTATAAATCTACAATGGTACATTTTCTTCATAATCTTCAGCAACCAATTATACTAACCGCTGGCGGTGTATTCCCTATATCTATGCAAACCAATTTATCAGTAAGTTTGATTAATGATATTATTTTGTATGTTGCTTAAGTATTTTTTTTCCTTTTAAGATGGTCAAATTAACCTTTTCTGTGGTAACGCTTGTAAAGCAATTCAACCTGGCTGAGAAGTTTCAATAAAAATTGAATAGTAAAACTATTTATGTAGATGATATTAAAAAAATAATACAATTATAGAATAAAATTAAAGGTCTCTTAGAGAACTGCAATGTTTTATTAAGTGCTTTAATATTACATATATATATATTTATCATATTATTTATGGAACATAACGTTTTACATTTATGTTACCATTTTTCCCAGAACTCCTTTAAAATAGGTTTGTATGGTTTTAATTATATAAAATCGGTTTTAAAATTTTTGGATTCTTAAACATTTTATTCAAATTATACCATTTGACAGTGGTTTTACCAGTAAAAATTTAAATCAGTTAAGGTTTTTTAATGCTTAAATGGTTTGCACAATTCAATTATTTAAAAGTCCAGCAAATGTCCAACATTTCTTGAGACACATGTAGACATTTATTTGGTATTGAATATTAAACCCATGTTATGTACGAAATAGGGGAAATTCACATCGCAGCTATTCCCAAAGTTAATAATTGAACAAATTAAACATAAGTTTTTGTAAGTCAAAAGTCTGGAAACTTATAGCACAACTTATAGTCAGTCATTTATCAATAGTTAAGACTAAATTGTACCCTTTAGGTGCAATAATTAGGGTAAGAAATAGACTCTAAGCTTGACACAGGTTTAGCTTTTGATTGTTGTATTTTATTTTATAGTAAAACAACTTGTTTGACTTGCTTTACATAAATAAAAGCATAAAATAAAGGTATATTTATTGTAAATTATATCACATTTCTTTAAATGCAATATACCCCTATTTTTAGTAACCTTACAAGTTCAATGCCTTGAGACATTTACACCAGAACTTAGGCATATAAAAGGCAATTGTTGTCAAGCTAGCTTCACAATCAAAAAGTAACCACATTCAAGATGTTAAGTCGATTATTTCCACGAATCAAAGAAAAGCCTCTAACGGAAAAGGTACTATCCCGCGATGCCTTCATCTATTTGGATCGGTGTATGTGGTCCTTTGGCTGGACAGAACCCAGTGATAAAAGGTAAATACATCAAGAAATTTAGTAAATAAATTCTATATTTATTAATAATTTCATAGATGGAAGCGCCTGTACACTTTGTGGTGCATTTTCAGCACAATAGTGGTACTAATTCTCCTGCCAATGTCAATGGTGGTGGAGTATGTCCATCGTTTCAGAAGTTTCTCAGCGGGAGAGTTTCTAAGTTCCCTTGAAATTCTGGTTAATATCTACGGATGTTCCCTAAAATGCATCTACATTATGAGGGGACATAGTAAACTCCAAAAAGCGAAAAATTTACTTGATCAACTGGATGGAAGATGCAGAAATGATGAGGAGAGGTCAATAGTTCATCGACATGTTGCCCTGGGAAACTCTTTCTATATGCTTTATCATATGTTATACACGGGCTTTGTGATTGTGAACTTTACGGGTTATGTGTGGATGGGAAGACATGCCTGGAGGATGTACATCCCATTCCTGAATTCCGAGGAGAACTTTATGGCTTCCAGTTTGGCAGAAGTTGCTCTGATGACAGCTGTGGTTACCATGGATCAGTGTACGGATGTTTGTCCTTTAATTTGCATGCTCCTAGCAAGATGTCATATTACTCTACTCAGAGATAGATTGAAGATACTAAGATCAGATCAGGATAAGGCTGAGCATGAGCACTTTAGTGACCTGACCAAATGCATACAGGATCATCGATTGATTTTGGAGTGAGTTAACCTTAGATAATGTAATTATATTTCTTATATTATATTATATTCCCTTAGCTATGTGAATGCTTTGAGACCAGTTATCTCTGGCACTATTTTCGTGCAATTCCTATTGATTGGTGTCGTCCTGGGACTATCCCTGATTAACTTGATGTTCTTTTCAACTTTCTGGACGGGTCTGGGCACCTGTTGTTTTATGTTAGATGTGTGCATGGAAACCTTTCCCCTTTGCTATCTCTGCAATGTCATAGTTGAGGATTGCCAGGATCTTTGCAATAGTTTATTCCAATCCAATTGGATGACTGCCAATCGACCCTATAAGTCTGCCGTTGTATACTTCCTGCATAATCTTCAGCAACCGATTATATTAACTGCCGGTGGAGTGTTTCCCATTTGCATGCAAACTAATTTATCTGTAGGTATTCCTTTAATTTAATTTTAAATCTTATACATATTATATTAATTTAAATTCTTTTTCTTAAAGATGGTAAAGTTGGCGTTTTCTGTGGTCACCATCATTAAACAGTTTAACCTGGCTGAGAAGTTCCAATAGAATGAAAATAAATGTACAATATTTAGGATCAAATTATTACAATTTAGTTATGAATATGAAAATATTTTAAATATAAAATATATTTTGGAATATGTGTTCCATGCCATCAAATTATTTTATTTATTGGTTTATATTATTGATTTAATTAAACCTATTTCAATTTATCACTATAAGAATTCTCTCCAAACTTTTAGCTATAAACCTTTAACTAAAAAAAGGCGAAGCAATTTCTTAAGTAAATAATTTAAACACTTCCCTAAAGTTTCAGTCAGGGAAACTGCAGTAAATTAAGAATTTAAAAGGAAAAAAGAAGGCATTTCTTGTTAGTTGATAGTTTTTCTCAGACCTTGATGCAAAAATATAAAAAAAGGCAAGTCATTTGGGAAAAATGCAATGGGTGTTTTGTGGCCTATAAAAAAGCCAACTCTGTTTGAATTTGAACTATTCGCAAAAAGAAACCACGGTCAAGATGTTAAGCAAATTATTTCCTCACATTAAGCAGAAACCAGTGACAGAAAAGGTTCAATCCCGTGAAGCCTTCATTTACTTAAGTCGCACTATGTGGCTTTTTGGATGGACAGAGGCAGATAACAAAAGGTTAATTATTTAATATCCAATTTTAATAAAATATCAAAAATAATCCCTATTTAAAGATGGACTCGCGTTTACAATCTATGGACTTTATTTATGGTTATATTTATTATGATTTTGTTGCCAATAACCATGATCGTGGAGTATGTTCATCGTTTTCGTAGCTTTTCGGCCAATGAGTTTCTCAGTTCATTCGAGATTTTGATTAACATGATCGGTAGCTCCTTAAAGTCTGCTATTGTCCTGAAAGGACACAAGAAAATTCAAGCCTCGAAGATACTTTTGGATAAGCTGGACGAGCGTTGTCTGAGTGATAAAGAAAAGTTCAAGGTTCATCGTTACATGGCCATATGCAACGCCTTGTTCATTCTGTATTTCATTATGTACACTGGCTATGTAATTATTAATTTTATGGGTTATCTTGTATTGGGACGACATGCCTGGCGTATGTACATCCCATTGCTGAACTCTGATGAGAATTTTCTAATGTCCAGTGGAGCGGAATTTCTTCTAATGACCATTGCTGTTGTCATGGATGGAAGTACGGATGTCTGTGCCTTGAGTACAATGCTAATGGCTCGATGTCATCTAATGTTGCTCAAGGATCGACTGGAGAATCTAAGAACGGATCCGGACAAGGATGATGATGAGCACTTGATTGATTTGACTAAATGCATTCAGGATCATCGATTGATTTTAGAGTAAGTTTCTGCTTTACCTTTATGTATATATTCTTATATTAATATTTTATAGTTATGTTAATGCCATGAGACCTGTATTGTCGGCAACTATATTTGTGCAATTCCTATTGATTGGCATTGTCCTGGGCATGTCAATGATAAATATTATGTTTTTCTCATCGTTTTGGACGGGACTGGGTACCTTCATTTTCATGTTTGATGTTTGTATGGAGACATTCCCCTTTTGTTATCTGTGCAATGTGATAATCGATGATTGTCAAGAGCTTTCTGATCGTCTCTTTCAATCGAATTGGATGGGTGCCGATCGTCGGTATAAGTCTACTTTGATATACTTTCTTCATAATCTACAGCATCCCATAACACTGACAGCTGGTGGAGTGTTTCCTATTTGTATGCAAACTAATTTGGCGGTAAGTTGGATTAGAAATTCAATTATTTTATTTAATAAATTTATTATTTTTTAAGATGGTTAAGCTGGCCTTTTCTGTGGTCACTGTTATGAAACAATTCAACTTGGCAGAGAAGTTTCAATAGACGAGAAACTATAAAATAAATAACAAGAACATCTTAAATAATAATCGATAAAATATCTTAAAATGTAAGAGTTCTTAAAAGAACTATTCAGATTTTTAGAATCTTTAGTACAAATTGTAAGAGCATTATAGCAAAAGAACTTAAAGATACCCAGTAATACCTAGTTTAATGTGAAAATAAAAGTCATCTTTCAACATTTTCCAAGCTATTACTTAATTTTATTTAAAAAAGGAACTTAACTATATAAATATCCTAAAAACAAATATAGGATAATCCTATGACACCTGTCATACCTTTAGTTCACTTTTACCAGTTTAAGTTACTCAAAACCTTTTACTTTAACTCAACACTACAGTCCGTGTAACTTAATTTTAAGTTTCCCAACTTTAAACACATATTTTCCAGCAGCCAAAGAAGATATATATATATATATATATGTTTTCCGTTTTATTAAGAGACCTGTGTAAAAAAAGATTCTAGGTGGCACAGTTATTGTTTGCCTTTCCCGTCCTGTCCGTTGTCCTCAATGCCAAAGAGTCAATATTATTACGATGGACGCTACGCGTTTTATGGTAAAAACGCTGGCAAAAATGCTTTCAATTAATTAAACACCCGAAAAGCAAGGCAATATAATGAGAATGCAATGTTGTGTGCACGGACCACCAAAGAGACAGGCAAACGAAGTTGAAAAGGGGGGTTTTGATTCCCTTGACCAACTCAATCAGCAATGATGCCAATATACAGGACATGGCCAGGCACTTGGAAAAATAGGTATTAAAAAATATTAAATAAAATAAGAGAATGGGGGAATAGTTCAGGGGAATAATATTGAAAATATATACAAGTTCTTTAGGCATTAAGATTTATATTTGGGAAAGCAAAGATTTCCACAATATTTATTTATATATTTTTACATTCAATTCTTGTTTGAAAATCTTGCATGAAATCCCCTATTTTTTTGAGTGCACTTTTGCGGCAAGTGCGGTGTGCAGCTCATTAATAATACAGATAATGTGTTTGGCGGCAATCATTTTTCGGTTGCATGCCAACATCGGTGGCGCTGATTAACACCGCCAATGGTCTGCAAAATGACAGACGAAGCTATATAAACTGGCAATAATGGTGGGTGAGAGAAAAATGTTGATTTTGTTCAGACTATAAAGCTATATACATATATATTCAGTAAATGACGATTTTGGTAATGTTTTTTCATTCTGTAAATGGCATGTTAACGTCCAACGATTGAAACGATCCTGTAAACCATAATTGCATTCAGTTGAAAGGTAATTAAACATTAAACAATTGACAAGTAAAAATTCTTAAAAAAGAATTTCAAGGTGCAGTGGCTTCTTTTCAGTTTAAAATGAAAATTATTGAAATACTTAAAGAGCATTTCACAGAAATCAGATATCAGTTGCAATCATACTTAAAGTTAATTGTAAATCGTTGATTTTTAATGCAGAAAATTCCCTTTCGACTCCTGTTAAGTCCGTAAATATAATACATTTTCCTGTAATTTTCTTAATTAATTAGGTTTCAAGCATTTGCATATTCAACACCATTTAAATGTAAAAGCGATTTCAGTGGCTTAAACTCACTTGGTTTAAGCTCGAGACCATAAAGTGTAAGTTTAAGTTGGGTCAGTAAATCTGCTCGTGGCGCCTGGAGGATGTTCTTTGGTGTCCTTTTTTCGCGGCACTGTCCACTTAATAAAGTGCAAACAGGCAAGTGATTATTTCACAGCTATTGTTCGCGAAAAGGATGCGGGTTACGCCCACAAGGGGGGAGGAAAATATCGCGAGTGGGGGCGTGGTAACAAAAGGATTTGCGTAATAACCAAAGAAACGAAGCAGAACACCCGAAAAAAACAGATAAAAAACCAGCCAAAAAATACAACAAAAAAATAACGAACGCGAGAAGCGAAAAAAAATGTGCATTGCGTATAAAAAATGTTACTAAGGAAATGTATACAATGTCGAGAGAGAGAGAGTGAAAGAGATGGTGAGATGTGGTGCAAGAGAGATGGGAGATGGGTCATCTGGAGGTGAAATTTACGAGCTGCTTTACACACACATTTATATACATAAATATACACACACACTGGTGAAATGGTCACGCATTCGCACATTCCTTGGTCAGGCAAGGACCTTTTTGATCCTTTTGCCTTAAATACACTCCCATAATTATAGATTTTACTCCCATTTCATTTCATTTCATTTCATTTCCGATGTAATAAATGTTTTTCAGTGCTTCAGTAAATTTTTAAAATTATACAAACACTTTGAAACAAATTAAAATGATGAAAAGTGATGTGAAAACTATTAAAAATTAGTTAAATTTAGTAGGAATTTAAGGTTTAATTGTTATTATAACAAAAGACATTTTATAATTAAAAAAACATATGCAAACACCAAAGTTTTGAATCATAAAAGACAATAAATTTATTAAAAATTTATTTTTTTCTGTTTTAAGGTGCAAGTCAAGAAAAAGATATATGCGAAGAAAACTTCAAAATAATTGTAAGATCTCTATATTCATTCTCTATATTCCATATTCCTCCAAAAGATACTACTTTATAGGAAAAAAATTATATTAATGCACAACAATAAATTCCTTTATATATATCTTCAAAAACATCTATATTCCTAGGTCTCACTATTCTTTCCTTATTTACAAAATCCGAATTAAAATATTTAACCCATTTCCTTTTGCATCCAGCATTTGACTAATGTGACCAAGCATTAAACATTTCCACCATATGCAAATTTTCTTGATCCCTTTCTAAGCTAGTTTATACCCCTGCAAGGACGTTTCCCCAAAAAATAACCTCACAAATTAGCGTTCATCATCAATCAAATACTTGGGAGCAGCAGAACCATCCGTGGAGCTGCTCCAGTCGAGGTCAATGGGCGTAGGGCAGACGCTAATTGCAATTTGTGGTTTCATTCAGTTGGAAGAGGAGCAGCAGCAGCAACAACAGCAGCAACAGCAGAAGCAGCAACAGCAACAGCAACAACAACAGCAGCAACAGCAACAGCAGCAACAGCAGCAGCAGCAAAAGTAGCAGCAGCAGCAGCAGCAGCAACAGCAGCAGCAGCAACAGCAATAGCAGCAACAACAGCAGCAGCAACAACAGCAAAAGCAGCAACAGCAACAACAACAGCAGCAACAGCAACAGCAGCAACAGCAGCAGCAGCAACAGCAACACACTCGATATATGTTCAATGTGCATACATTGCACCCACTCAACGTTCATTTCGAGTTCCTCCTGCTGCTGCTCCTGCTGATGATGATGATGGATTTTTGGATGGAGTGCCGCGAAGCCGAAAAACCACATCGACATCATCATCCTCATCGTCATCGTCTTCTACGAATTTCGCACAAATTCGAAGGAAGTTCGTAAACGGGACTTGGGCAAAGCCAGGTAAACTCAATCAGGGAAGACAGGTAGCTGACATCAGGTGCGCATATTCAAATCAAGTGTTCAATGTTCAACCTTACAGCCTCCTTCTTCTGCTTAAGGATATATGTATATGACCTTTCCTTTGATCTGCGGTCTTTAAATACTTTTTTTTCAAAGAAAATATATACATAAATATAAAGTAATTTCTTTCATCTGAATATGGTTGTTGTGAATCAAACAGGTAAAAGGTTAGCATAAGGATTTCAAATATGCAAAGCCAGGAAGTAGATATTACTCAAGGTTAAATTGAATATCTTTAAATTGAATATTTTGGCTGCACTTTAAGAAATTATATAATTTTTTGTTAAAAAGAGACATTTGCGATGTTCCCAAGTGACTTGCTTTTTCGCTAGACTAGTCAAAACTTTAGTTTGTATTTATTAAATACTAAATTCATCATCTGGCATCTAGAAATTAATTTCCCATAAAAGTTGGCTGAAATATACATACATTTTCCTGTATATAAGTTAAAAACTAAGCCAGTGCACTGACAGAAATAAGCGCTGTCATGGCAGCTGCCAGTGGAAGTCATGACTCTCATGTGGATCCTTTTTTTTTCTCCTTCCTGACTGACTTCCTTTAGGACATTGTGGAACTCCTTGCCTCGATTTAAGCGGCATTTGTGGCATTTGAGGCATGCGGCACACGCTGCGTATGAGCTATTTTCTTAAGCAAGAGCCAGAGCCAGAGTTTGCCTCCCCTTAACCTTTTGGCATCCTTTTGTTTGGCCGTGTGAATGTGTGTCATGTGTGGCATGTGTAGCATGCAGTGTCCTTTTTCCCGCCCGGCCCCCTTTTTGTCTTATTGAAGAGCATCCTGTGAGTTATTTTTATAGAGCTACTTTATGCCCCAACTCTACGACACACAATGTGCTTTTATTCATAAGTATGACTAACCTATTTAAAGGATCGCATATCATTGTGCTTCCGCCTTGAAGGATTTATTTTGAATGAAACTATAAATAGGATATTCTTTGGTGGGACAAGAGATAAAGGAAATGTTGTCAATTAATGACTAATTAGTTTTGCTTTGAGGAAATGTAATCTTTTAATAGTTTGTTTAGTAGATACTTATATTTTATTTTTCCAATGACAGTAAATGTAAGAATTACTCTTTTTAAATTTCATTCATTTCTGCCATGAATCTTATAAGCAATTCTATGTTTTTTCCTCACTCATCTCATTTATTTTTCTGGCATAATTTATAGCTTGTTAGGAGTAGTAATCAAATTGCTTTTGATAGCTGCAATCTAGACAAATTACCCAGCCACTCATCTATTTTAGTTTTTTAATTAAAGCCAAGAGCCAAGGGCTGCACATCCTTGTGGGGGAGGGAGAGGTGGGATCGGGATGTCCCCGAAAACATTTGCCCAACGCATTGGACATAAATCAAGTGAACGAGAACGGGTCCGACATGGACATGGCAGGACAACGAGTCCAACAAAACTGCTGCTTCTGGTCTCAAGCCCGATAGCTCTTTTCCCATGGACATACAGAAATTTGTGAATTGCAGTTTGCCGCCCAAAAATCAAGCGAAA